GTCCGTGTAAAACTGCATCTGGATGAATCTGGAATAAGTATCAGAATGTCGCCATATCTGGGTCACATCTGAACTATCTCTGGGTGAATCTGGAATAGGTATCAGAATGTCGCCATGTCTGGGTCACATCTGAACTATTTCTAGAAAGACTTTCAGAAGATGATGATCTTTGTCTGTCGACTGATCTTTCCTGAAAGAAAGTAAAGAGTTAGTTGTATGCAATGTCATGATGCATGATGCAATGTATGTTATATCAATGTTTATGATATGAATGTGATGAATGCGCATGTAAGCTGATGAGCTGTCTTACTGAGGATAGATGAATCCTGGATGGCTGGAGATAAAAGAATCTTGACTGCTGTCGGGGAAAGTAATCTTTGACTCCTGCAGGGGAGGGCAAGAATCTTTTGATCGTTGAAGATGAGAAGTCCTGGGGACCACTGTTGGGGAATTAAGAGCTTGGGTTGTATGCCAATCTACTGGGGATTCCTGTTTTGAGGAGATCTTCATTGGAGAATATTCGAATATTCTGTGGGGACCTGCAAATGAGAGTCTTCATTCTTCTTGGGGATTGATAGTTGGAAGTTTTAGCTTCACTAGGGATTGCAAAAATCTTTTGAATTTGAGAAAGAACCGGTGTAGGGTTGCTTCATGATCAGTCAGTGTAAAACTACATCTTGGATTTGAGAAGGAACCGGTGTAGGGTTGCTTCATGATGAGTCCGTGTAAAACTACATCTGGTTTGAGATCTGTATGTGTAGCAGAATGACTTCCGTGTCTGGAGTGTATCTGAAACTGTAACTAGGATCTGAATGAGTAACAGAATGGCTACCGTGTCTAGAGCGTATCTGAAACTGTATCTTGGATCTGAATGAGTAACAGAATGGCTACCGTGTCTGGAGCGTATCTGAAACTGTATCTTGGATCTGAATGAGTAGCAGAATGGCTACCGTGTCTGGAGCGTATCTGAAACTGTATCTTGGAGTTGAGATCTGTACGAGTAGCAGAATGACTTCCGTGTCTGGAGTGTATCTGAAACTGTATCTTGGAGTTGAGATCTATATGAGTAGCAGAATGACTTCCGTGTCTGGAGTGTATCTGAAACTGTAACTAGGATCTGAATGAGTAACATAATGGTTACCGTGTCTGGAGCGTATCTGAAACTGTATCTTGGATTTGAGATCTGTATCAGTAGCAGAATGACTTCCGTGTCTGGAGTGTATCTGAAACTGTAACTAGGATCTGAATGAGTGACATAATGGCTACCGTGTCTGGAGCGTATCTGAAACTGTATCTTCCAACAGGTGATGAAGGAATTGTTGAACACTTTTGACATTCGAATGCCCCAAGTGGTGATGAAGGAGACTTGCCCCAAGTTCACTGAACTTTTGAGAGATTTGTTGAAATCTTGACTGGACTGCCCCAAGTGTGCTAGATAGTGACATGTCATGCCCCTTGTTGATAGGAGATTTGTCGTTGGAAGTGTCATCCTTTTTGAAGTGATTTTGCTCACTGAGAGAGTTTTCGTTCCTCCGAACTTTCGCTGTATGAATTTCTTCGCTGTCAAACAAATAAACATGTGCAAACAACGATATTCAAATAATGCAAAGTTTAGGTTTGTCTCAAAGTTTCGAAAAATGCGTTTTTTAGCAGAAAACTTTTTTATAAGACAAATTAACACAAGATTTTAGAGCAAAGCCTTACAGGAGTCAGGATACCTTTTGTAACAGTATGCTTTCGAACTAACCCATGCTTCAATTAGGACTTTTGAAGGGTTGTAACGTGGCTTGGTTCACGGTTTAAGAAACAAAGGATAAAGGCTCAAAGTATATTTGTACCCACCCGCTCTTCGTGATGTTCTTCAACCCTAAGCTCAGTTAATTGTGCGTCGAACTCCATTCGAATTTTGAATGACTTTTTGGGTGATGGTTCACCAGTTGAATTTTGGAAGACAGTCATCATCTCCTTTTCTCTTTTTGCAACTTTTTTCATGTTGTTGAGGATTTGTAATGACCTCTTTCTTTTGATTTGTTATCCCTAACTTTCTTAAGCCTCCTTTATAGGTTTTGGCTTAGTGGGCTTTTCTCTTTTGAGAGGTTGACTGCCTGTGAGATAAGGAAACATCACTGTCTTTTGATTCCAGAGGAATGCTTTCTTTTTGATGTCGTTCGTTGTGTTACGAACTGAGAGTTTGCGACTTTAATGCGCACCTTTTTTGGTTTAACTGAGAGACTACCCTGCCCCAGGTTTAAATCAAAGGTTTCAATTTGTTTAGAACAGAAAATTCCTACTTCTTTGGCTCGAAGAGGTTGACTAGGGATTATCTTCCTTATAACTCCAGTGTTTGGGAATTGAAAGAAATGCCTGTACATCATCAGCAAGGTCTGTTCAAAAGCATACTGTATGAGATTATGATATTGTTTCGTCATCCTCCCTCTAAAGGCTTGCAGCTTTTTATCAAGAGTTAAATATCATAAAGAAAGCATAAGAGTAGTGAAAACGAATGGATGGATTCAAGACAAACATATACAATGCATTAATGAAACAAAGTTTGACATCAACAGATAATTGTCAGGACATCTTGTTCAACATCTTATTGAATTACTTATTTTAATAAAAGATAGCATACACAACAAAATCTAACACTTTTTGCCTTTAACATATGTTTAATTGATCAAGAACATTGAGAAAGTTGACTGAATTTTTCTAAACAGATAAGGAATGTTCCAATATCTTGTTTAGAAACTTCGATTATGCTTAGAAATTCTGAGAAAATATATCTTCGAATATTTAAAAGTTATGAATAACCAGACCTTTGTTAAAAGAAAATCTAACTAGACTCTGATACACCAACTAGGTTCTGATATATTTATCAAAACCAAGTTCTGATAGCAAGTCAAGAACTGAGATGATGAACCAACATTACTATTCAGACTCTAATAGTACCTCAATCAATAAAATATTCTTTTAATGCTGATTGAATTGTTTTTATACATCAAAATTATTTTATAAGTCTTGAATTCAGGGGGAGTCTCTAAACAAGCTAAAATAAGTTTTTGTAGTATAGAACTCATGGGGGGCTTTATTGCTAACTTTGATGTGTTTTTGTGTGATTAAACCAAGTAAAGATTATTTGTCAAAATACAAGATTTTGTCATCATCAAAACGGAGAATATTGTAAGAACAAGATTTGGTTCTTTATCTGACATTTAGTTTTGATGATAATACTATATTGTTTCTTAGAGAATAATTATGTACCTTAAAGATTTTGTGTTGTGTGTAGCTTTTGCTAATAAGTTTGACTCTGAAGAATTGACGTGCGATGTCATCAGTTTTTAAACTCAGCACACTATGACTTTGGAAAGATACAAATGTACGTTTTACAAAGATCTAGTCATGTTCTGAAATGCTCCTAAAACAACAGCTCTGAAGAATGTTTGTCTTAAAGTTTCTGACTGTGACTCTGATGAAAGAGCTTATGAAAATTTCTCAAGCTCTGAAGATTCTCCGCTCTCAAGTTTTGAGGTTCTGAAGAACAAGTTCTGAAGACTCTGTAGACGTGGTTCTGAAGATTCTGAAGATAAGATTCTCATTCTATGTTTGATCCTTCTAAGCAAACATCATCAACACACATTCTGAAGTCTTTAAAGATTAAAAGATAAGATAAAAAAAAGGTTTTGCGTGAATGAATAATACATGGTACAAAATCAAACTACCCTTATGGTAAGATATCATCTACCACTCTCACTGGTCGTTATGCAAGAATACAATTGAGATTTTGGAGTTCTCATTTTACCCTCCAAGAGATCTTTCTATACTTATATAAGAAGCCCTTAAAAGAATGAAAAGAAAAACTCTTACAACAACTTTTCATGTGAACTTTTTCCGATAGAAACATTTCATATTAATGAGAAAAGTTGTAAAGTATGAAATTTTTATTCATATACTTGCTCAAAACACTTTTGTGTTAATCATTGTATTTCAACTTGTGTAATCTGCTTTTATAGAAGAACATTTCAATTTGTGTAATATGATTTTATAGAAGAATATTTGTAAATACTTTTGTATCACAACATATGAGTTGTTTATTTCTTGAAAGACTAGAGTGTAGTCATACGTCTTTGTAGTTGTAATCAATTTAGTTACGGTGAATTAAATCTTTGTGAAAAAACGAAATCACTTTAGTGGATGAGCTAATGATAACTTCGTTAACAGCGAATCAGAATAAAAATATTATATTCATTATTTTTATTTTAAATTCTTTATTCTTTATTTTAGATCACAAAATAGTTTCAATCTAAAAATCCAATTCAAATTCTCCTTTCTTATGTGTCCTTAACCTTCCTATACAACTATGAAAAAGGGATATAATATTTAGGATGATGATAAAAATGATAAATGCAAATGAAAGTTTCCATTAAAATATTCATAAATAAAACATACTTAACAAGTATTTAACTGGGACAGTTTACCACAAAAACACAATACAAAGCACATATCCACAATAATGCCATTTTTTAATATTTTAATACAATCAATTTCTTAATTTGTACAATATATTTTTTGGCTGCTGAAAATACTATAATATGTTGTCAACCATGAAAAATGTGTTTTAACAAGACATATATCTCTCAGCTGATGCAACTTTTTGTCCTCTTCAAACACAAGATATTATTAAATAATTGTCCAAGACAAGCACTACAACAAAACCAACAAACACATAAAGCTATCATATCATATCAATGTGGGGACTATTAACAATAAATTACTACAAAATCATAAAACAAAAATTTCTAGCTTTTGAAACTGTCTTCATTCATCATACATACATACACCACTAGATACAATCTCAAATATGCTTAAGTAAAGAAAACTCTTGATCTTATTACACAAAAGTCCATAATAACATGTTTACTAGTAATACAAACCACTTTCTAATACTAATTATGATTCTTTCACTACTTTTAAACACTCAAAGCCAAAGAAATAGCAACCAGAACATGCCAGAGATGCAACAAGGTGTAACTCCTAGTAAAGGTGTTGTTATAATTGTTCTTTCCATTATGTTTCTCATAACGTTTATCTTACTTGTTTATGTCAAATTCTGTCGTGTTACTCCTCTTCATCTTATAACCCCAAACCCTCTTAACCAAGGAACAACTCCATCAAGGTCTATAGTTTTGGGCGTTGAAAAGAAAGTGATTGAAACACTTCCTTTCTTTAAATTTTCTTCCTTAAAGGGATCCAAACAAGGACTAGAATGCACTGTTTGTTTGTCGAAATTCGAAGACGAAGAGACACTTAGATTGTTGCCCAAATGCAAGCATGCTTTTCATATGAATTGTATTGATAAGTGGCTTGAGAGTCACTCTACCTGTCCTCTTTGTAGGTACATGGTTGAAGAAAATGATATAAGAAACTTCACTTTTTCATTCAGTTCAAGATTCTTAAGAGTCCCTTCAAATCTAAGTGAAGATCCAAATCTTGAGATTTTTATTCAAAGAGAACCTTCTCAAAGAAAGAGTAAAATAGATGAACAAGAACAAGAACAAGAAATAGTTCTTCTTGATCTTGAAGAAGGTGGTAGCAGCAATGTTACAAAATGGAAACAACAACAAAAACAACATTTGCATATGATAAATCATAGAATATTGATCTCTGATGCTGTTGTTACAAGGAGTAGATGGAGTGATCTTAACTCTTCTGATTTGTTATCATTGAAAAGTGAGATGCTTCATGATGTGTCAAGTGCAAGATTTTCTCCTGATGAGGATGAAAATTCTTTTACAGCATTGAATCCTGGCGAGAAGAGGTGTATGTCTGAGATTGCAAATGTTCCAAGGTTTGTGGAAGTTGGCAGCAGAAGAAGGAATGGAAATGATGAGACAATGTGGAGGATTTGGTTGCCTATTGCAAGGAGAACAGTTCAATGGTTTGTAAGACAAGAAACAAACTCGGTTCAGTTATTGCAACATAAACATTTAGCTTCAAATGTTTGATGAACAGTAATTAGTACTGTGATTAGTATATGTTGATTGTTGGTTTAAGTGGATTAACAAAAGTTGATATATTTAGTCAAAGATTGCTATCTTATAATATAGTATGCAAAAGTGTGGTTTATGAGTCTTTATTGGTAAAGATAGATAATATCAATCCCTTTTTCCTTTTAACTATGCTCTTGATTAAGAATGCTCTTTTGTGGAATCATTATCTCATTATGGTAATATTGCCACTCTTTGCAACCACAAAAAATTAATAGGCTTAATTGCTAGATTTAGTTTCACTATTTTATATTTTTTTTACTTTTGATTCTTCATTTTAATAATCAGATGTTTTGTTTTGAATTTTAGTCTCTCATTCAATTTTGGACCAATTTTTAGTGATGATCTGTCATGTACTATTCAACCAATTTTTATTTCTACCTCAGAATAAATATTTTTAAATTAAAAAATCTATATATTTAAATCATTAAAGTTATTATTATTTCATTTTCATTATTAAAATATTATATCATTAGACTTAAAATTAGATTATTTTAATGTTAAGTGACTTATAAGTTTATAAAGTTCATCATTCTTGTCTTTCAAATATCTAATCATATCCTTTGCACGATTGTTCATTTCTTCATCAAACCATTCAAAATGATTACATTCTTTTTTTCTCATCACCCAAAAATCACCACAGCCATAAAACATTCTTCTTGGATTCGCATAATCCCAAGAAGTCATCAATGGTGACTCTGTTAAATTGTAATTCATAGTGTCGAAAAGATTTGATTTGTTTTAGATTTAAATAGATTTGATTTAAGTCTAAAATATATTAGATTTGATTTAGTAACAAAATAGATATTTTGGGCTTTGGGCTTAGGGTGTAAGCTCAATTATAAATAGAGAGAGTAATCCCTATTTTTTATAAGCAAGTCAAACAAGTCATTCACAGTATTTTGCAGTTGCAAAGTGAATAAGAAAGTTTTCACAGTTTGTGAGCAGAGAGAAACTCTGCAGAAATTATTTGTCTTGTCTTTTTTTTTATCTCATAATTAAATTGTCATTATGGTAGAAATTTATCATAGACTTTGGTGGATTTCCAACATCTGGTAACAAGAACTTTGTTTCGATTCGAGGGAAGTGTCAATCAAGAACGATTGAAGAATTTACGATGACAAGTTATGGGAATGCAATCTATCCAGCAACGCTACCAATTCTGAAAGTTGATAACTATGAGAATTGGTGCAAACAGATAAAAGTCTTATTCAGGTGTCAAGGTCTTTGGGACCTTGTAAAAGATGGAGTCGAAGCGTTTGGAGAAAACGCTTCAGAAGAAGAAAAGAAGAAATACACAGAATCTGAGAAGCTGAGTTATAAAGCATTATTTCTAATTCATCAATGTGTCAGCCCAGATAATTTCGAAAAGGTTAATGATTCAGAATATGTAAAAGAAGCTTGGGAAATCCTTGAGAAGTCTTTTGGAGGCGCTGATAAGGTGAAAGAAGTGAGGTTACAAACTCACAAAAGGACGTATGAACTGCTTCAGATGGAAGACAATGAAAGCATATATGATTTCTTCACTAGAGTTACAAAACTAGTAAATCAAATCAAGATATGTGGAGAAATGTTAACAACAAGAGCTGTTGTTTCAAAGATCTTGAGATCTTTAGCTCCTAAGTTCGACTACATAGTGGTGGCGATAGAAGAGGGGAAATACTTGTCAAAATTGACAAAGGAAGAGCTTCAAGGGACGCTTGAATCTCATGAACAAAGAATGAATGAATGAGTTGCAGGCAAATCGAAGAGTGGTGTGGCCTTGCAGGCAGATTCAGCAAAAGAAACCAAAAGCAAAGGAAAGTGTTTCGATAGAGGTAGAGGTGGCTACAACAAATTGAATGGTAGAGGAAACCAAATCGAAGGAAACATGTCGAATCAAAGATGGCCATACCAAGGCAACCAAAGAGGTGGTGTTGCAAATAGAGGAAGAGGTGGTGGTCGAAAACCTGATAAGAGTCACATTCAATATTACAATTGTCAGAAGTATGGTCACTATTCGAGTGATTGTCCAGAAAAACGAAAGAATCAAGAAAGTGATGCAAAGCTTGCAAAACATGAAGAAGAAGAGATGATGCTGATGGTCACAATAAAAGATGAAGATAGATTCAAGGACCAATGGTACTTGGACTCAGGATGCTCATCACATATGTCTGGAAGGAAAGACTGGTTTGTCAATCTAAAGCCCTCAATGAAAAATATGGTAAAATTTGCAAATGACAATACCCTAGAAGCTGAAGGTATTGGTGATGTTATGATCATGAGGAAAGATGGCAAAAGGGTCAGTAATCTCCAATGTGTTGTACATACCAGGCATGAAGAGCAATTTGCTCAGTATAGGGCAGTTGGTAGAAAAAAATTATAAAGTGTCAATCGAAGATAAGATGATGAGAGTCATTGATGCAAATGGGAGATTAATCTTGAAGGCTCCTATGTCTTAGAATCGAACCTTCAAGATTGAACTAAATGTGATGGAGCACAAGTGCCTTTCGACTGCAGCTAGCAGAGATGAATGGATATGGCATTATAAACTAGGCAATCTCAACTTCAGAGACATCATAGATTTGAAGAGAAGAAATATGGTTTCAGGATTGCCAGAAATCGACATTCCAAACGAAGTATGTGAGGAATGTGTGCAGGCGAAGCAACACAAGAATAGCTTCAGCAATGATGCAGGAAGCAAGTCGAAGGCTATTCTTGAAGTCATATACTTTGATGTATGTGGACCAATCCAGGTAGATTCGATGGGAGGTAACAAATACTTTGTTACATTCATAGGTGATTTCAGTCGAAAGCTATGGACTTACCTGATCAAGAAGAAAAGTGAAGTGATCGAAGTATTTTCCAAGTTTAAGTCTATGGTGGAAAGACAAAGTGGTCAAAAGCTAAAAGTTTTGAGAACTGATAGTGGTGGAGAATATGTGTCGAAAGACTTCGACAGGCTATGTGAAAAGGAAGTGATTGTGCATGAGGTGGTGGCACCCTATACTCCACAACAAAATGGAATTGCATAAAGGAAGAATCGAACCATCATGAATATGGTACGAAGTATGTTGAAAGATAAGAATTTACATAAAGAGTTTTGGGGTGAAGCTATTTCGACTGCAACATACATTTTGAACAGATGTCCTACGAAGAAGCTAGAAGGAATTACTCCAGAAGAATGTTGGTCTGGTGTGAAGCCTAGCTTGAGTCATCTGAAGGTATTTGGATCTATTGCACATAGACATGTGCCAGATCAGTTGAGAAGAAAACTTTATGACAAGTCAAGTCAAATGATTCTAGTTGGATATCATTCGACAAGAGGCTACAAGTTGTTCGATCCAGTTAAAAAGCAGATTGTGATCAACAGGGACGTGATCATAGATGAGTTTAAAGAATGGGATTTGACTGAAAATGTCAAGAAAGATTCAGTGGGAATCCTACTTGAAGAGCCGGAAACTCAAGTCGAAAGAGAAGTTCGACAAGAGGAACCAGCAGATATAACAAATACAAGCAGACCTCAAAGAACAAGACGCATTCCTGTAAGATTTCAAGATTATGTGATTACATCAGATGATGTGATAGATGATGAAGGTGAGCTGGTACATTATAATTTCTATGCAGATGTCGAACCTGTTAATGCAGCTGAAGATTGAAGGATTTGAAGTGGGTGAAAGTAATGAACAAAGAAGTGAAGTCTATCAAAGACAACAACACTTGGTCACTTGTCGAATTTCCTCAAGGCAAGAAGGAAATTAATGTCAAGTGGGTATACAAAGTGAAAACGAATTCGAAAGGGGAAGTAACTCGACACAAAGCAAGGCTTGTGGCAAAAGGATTTCTACATAAAGAAGGAATAGACTTCGATGAAGTTTTTGCACCTGTTGCTAGGATCGAAACAATTAGGTTGGTTATTGGTCTAGCAGAAATAAACAGTTGGCACATATGTCAGATGGACATGGAGTGTGAATTCCTAAATGGACCCTTAGATGAAGAAGTCTATGTTAAACAACTAGTTGGGTTTGTGAAACATGATGAAGAAAAAAGG